AAACAAAAGAAATTTATATAAGTGGAAGAATGTCCCATGTTCATGGATAACAAGATTTAATATAGTGAAAACGTCAATATTACCAAAAAATATCACAATACAGTTGTGATCCAAATTCTAGCACAATTTTTCAAAGAAATGGAAAAACTAACAGTCAACTTTATATGGTATGGCAGTTCCATAATCTGTCAACTTGGGCGAAGGGGTGGAGTCCAGCCTGTCAATCAAGTCCCAGCTTGATGACCTCATTTGGAGGTGCGATGGAGATAGATGCTCACTGGAGGCCAGATGCCGTCGTCGTTCTGCCTTCCCTTTCCTGCTGGTGAGACACTCAGAGCGCTGGAAGGGACACGCGGAGACCCACACCAGCACTGAGATGCGCCCACTGCCGCTGGATACGCAAGACTTTCTACCCACTGGCCTGTGATTTTCCTGCTTTTGACATTGTTGCATGTGCTACATGAGTCTAAAGAGGAACTTATGGACTAGAATCGGATATCTGGGCTAATATTGGACTTATGGACTTGATCTGCAATGAGTTTTCTCAATATACAATTGCTCTTTTATATAAAGCTCTTTCTTATATACATATGAGTGTCTCTGGATTTGTTTCCCTAGTCAACCTGGACTAACACATGTGGAAAGGAAAGAAAGTCAGGATAAGCAAGATACTAAAGAAAAACAAAAATAAAGTGGAAGCCTCCCACTCCCCAATTAAGAAACTTATTATAAAGCCACGATAATCAAAACAGATTAGCACTGGTATAATAACAGAAATATAGATCAATGGATCAGAACAGAGAATCCAGAATTAATGCCAAACACCTAAAGACACCTGATTTCTCAATATAAAGGACTAATACACATTAAATGGGGAAAAGATCGTCGTTTCAACAGATGGTGCTGGGAAAAATGAATCTCTATCTGCAAAAGAATGAAACAGGACCCACACCTCACACCAGATGAAAATCAAACTCAACATGGACTAACGACTTAAACACAAGCCCTACAAAGGTCCTAGTACAATGCATAAACTCA